TTCGGATCCCACCGTGCCTGGTTCGGGTTGTGGAGGATTATCTGAGAAACAGACGAATAACGTACGAGACGACCGAAGGACAGGTAACGAGACAGGTCACCGCTGGGGTGGCTCAGGGGTCGATACTGGGACCCGACTTTTGGAATGGTCTATACGATAGTCTGCTTCGGCTTGGGATACCACTCGGAGTGACCCTCGTCGCCTACGCTGATGACGTGGCGGCGGTGATCACGGAGAGATCTCCCGAGCTGGCGCAGCTGACGTTGAACCAGACCATGAGACGAGTTGGAAGATGGATGACAGAACACGGACTGCAACTCGCAACAGAAAAGACGGAACTTATGCTTCTCACGAGAAGACGCATACAGACGATACTATCCATGAGAGTGGGTACATACGAAACGGAGACCAAGGGGGAAGTCAAGTACCTTGGGGAAACCCTCGATACGAAGATGACCTTCTGGCCTCACATACAGAAGACAGCCCGAAAAGCGGCAGAGAGGATAACATCCTTGAGCCGCCTGATGGCAAACACGACGGGACCGAGACCAGGAAAGCGGCGACTGCTAATGGCGACAGCTCACTCGATCCTCTTATACGGCGCGGAAATATGGGCAGATTCCTTGAAGACAAAGAAGTACTGTAAGACAATGACGATGGTACAGAGACAGGGCGCTCTGCGAATCGCTTGCTCCTACCGAACAGTCTCTGCGCAGGCTGTCCTGGTGGTGGCGAGCGTAATACCCGTGGATCTTCTTGCTTCTGAACGCAAAAGGATCTATGGGAGCAGCGCAGACATAGGACGAAAGAACGCGGCAATCGTTGAACGCGAAAGGACGATAGACATGTGGCAAGACCGATGGACAGAAGAACGAGGTAGCAAATGGACGAGACGACTGATACGGGACGTGAGACCGTGGCTTGGAAGGAATTTTGGTGATGTGAATTTTCACGTCACCCAGCTCTTGACGGGCCACGGGTGCTTTCGACGGTACCTCCACAATATGAACAGAGTACGAACACCCGACTGCAAGTATTGTGGACACGAACGAGACGACGCGGAACACACGTTTTTCGGGTGCGACCGCTGAACAAGACTCAGACGAGAACTAGAGACAACAGTTGGCAACATCACCCCCGATAACATTGTAGAGGTGATGCTGCATAAATCCGAATGGTGGCGTTTAGTCGCAACCTATACGGAAACCATACTAAGACGTAAGAACGCGGATGACTGTCTGAAGGACGACTGAGCAGACGGATTGACGCGACGTAACGACGCACGGTGAAACGATACGAACGAACGAACACAGACAGAACCCCCAGTCAGAAGTAATATCAACATAGTCCCTGGCTGGGGGAAGGACAACAAGGAGATGGCGGTTTAGTGGGTAGGCCTGTCTTTTTTTTTTTTTTGGGGGAGTCCCACATACCTCCTTAGATATGAAGACTAAGGGGAATCCGCAAAAAGGATTCCGCAACTCCTTGTAAAAAAAAAATAATAATAATAATAAAAATAATAATAATAATAATAATAATAAAAATAATAATAATAATAATAATAATAATACTAATAAAAATAATAATAATAATGATGAAGATGAGGATGATGATGATGATGATAATAATAATAATAATAATAATAACCAATGGGGACGACTACGTCTGGGCTACAGTCGGCGCTGTCACTTATGTCAGCGTCTACCTGACATCCAACTGCACCGCGGCGGAGTTCGAAAGGAAGGCGACGCGGTTAGAGGACGGGATCAGGGACCTGCCCGGAGATGTCATCGTTGCGAGGGATCTCAATGCGAGGGCGATCGAGTGGGGAATGAACGAAACGAACCGACGTGGACGACTGCTGCTGGAAATGGCCGCAAGGTTGGACCTAGCAGTAGTACATACGGGATACGCCGACGTACAGACGACCAGGGATTGGAGACTCCATCCCTGACGTGACGATGACGTCGGACAGAACCCTGCCACGGCTGAGGGGGTGGCGGGTGGTCAAGAACTATACAGCCAGCGACCATCAATACATCGTCTTCGAAGTGGCGGGACGGACAGAAACGAGACAGACGAGAATCCACCAACCCCCGCAGTGGAACCTTAACAAACTTGACCGACAAAAATTTTCGGAGGAGTTGATGGCGGCATCAGCCCCGGGGTCGAAGATTCCTCCTGAGCTAACGGGCCGGCGAAGAACGGAAAGACTGACAGACGAGACGGCGAAATTAATAAACAACTTGTGCACCAGCACAATGACGAAACGACGACAGATACAAAAAAGACGATCACAATACTGGTGGACGGACGAAATAGCCGAGTTACGCAAGATATGCCTGGCAAATCGGCGACGTGCGACGAGGGCTGGAGGTGGACCCGAAAGGGAAAACCTTCAGGCCATATACAAAACAGCACGGAAGACGCTGACGAAAGCAATACGGGACAGCATGACGCGATGCTGGAGGAAGCTCTGCGAGGAGGTGAACGAGGATCCCTGGGAAACCGGCTACAAGATTGTGACCGGGAAACTAGGGGCCCGAGTCTCACCGGAACTTAAAGATGCCGAAACAGCAGGACGGATTGTTGACGGATTGTTTCCGACGCACCCGACTAGGACAAACGTGATGGATGACGTGGACGCACAAATGCCCCCCGCTTTTGCCGCTGAGGAGCTCATCAGAGCAACGAATGCGATGAGGACGGGTAGGGCACCGGGACCGGACGGAGTACCATCCGAGATCCTCCGGCTCGTGGCTCGTCTACGGTCAAAGCTCGTACTCCACGTGCTTGGCGACAGGAACGTTCAGTAACCGGAAGGTGGCAAGGTTTGTTTTTATCCCAAAAGGTAGGAGCGATCCTGGCACGCCTTCAGCCTACTGACCGTTAAGTTTACTCGACAGGACTGGTACACTCTTTTAACAATTACTGAGATCGAAACTGATCGACGCGATAAAGACCGGAGGGGGTTTATCAGGTTTGTAGTTCGGTTTCAGAAGTCGGTCGATCGACGATTGGAGCGGTCCGAAGGTGGTCAACTCTTTCCTGGAACTAGATTAATACTGACACACAGCGCGATTTACGAGTATAGTGTTGCTGACAACGCTCGGCATTAGGAATGCTTTTAACTCGGCCAGGTGGAAGGATATCTTGGAGGCACTGAAAAGTAACTTCGGGATCCCACCATACCTGCTTCGGGTTATGGAGGACAGACGGAGAACGTACAAGACGATCGAAGGATAAGTAACGAGACAGGTCATCGCTGGGGTGGTACAGGGGTCGAAATAGGGACCTGACTTCTGAAATGGCTTATACGATAGCTTGTTTTGGCTTAGGATGCCACTCGGAGTGACCCTCGTCGCCTACGCTGATGACGTGGCGGCGGTGATTACGGAAAGGTCCCCCGATCTGTGAACCCGAATGATGACGCTTAATCGCTACCTATACGGAAACCACACTGAGACGTATGAACGCGGACGACTGCCTGACGGATGACTGAGCAGTCGAAGTGACGCGACGTAACAAGATACGGCGGAACGACACGAACGGACAAACACTGATAGAACCTTCAGTCAGAAGTAATATTAACAAAGTTCCTGGCTGGGGGAAGGACACCAAGGAGATTACGGTTTAGTCGGTAGGCCTGCTTTTTTTTAGGGAGTCCCACATAACCCCTGAGTCAGCAAGACTAAGGTGAGTCCGCAAAAAGGATTCGGCAACTCCTTGTAAAAAAATAATTAATAATAATAATAATAAATTAAGTAATTTATAATAATTATGTACATATAGTAATAGTAATAATATATAGGTATGTGTGTGTGTGTTTGTGTGTCAGCTTATGTTAATAATATAATACGTATATAAAGCAGAATAGTTTTAAAAATGTTTACTGTACAAAATAACCATAATATATTGGTTCAGACTATTTTTACCATCGTATCTTATCTTGAGAATTGATAATGTAGTCAGTATGTACATAACGATTATCTTATCTTTCTCTCCTTCTCTTTTTTATGCTATGCTTTCTGTGTCGGGCCGGCCCGGCCTCGCTCAGCGATCACCGTCAGCTGAAATCAAAGGCCACGCATTAGGCGCATTCTAAATGCTTCACTATGCCCTGCCGCGAGAGGAAAAAGAGGAAAAAAAGTGATCGAAAGCAAACGCAACGCTCGCTCTCGTCACAAGCGTACACGTAGACAGAAAAAAGTATTGGAAAAGCCAGAGAAGTCAGAGAAACTCGATATATCGTTAAACCCACATGTTTTGCTTCGAGGACCAGTGATTGTTTAGCTTTATAGGCCGCAACTTAAAGAGAACCTTACATTGCCCTCGTTACAACTAATCAGCGCGCGCTTACTCAAACGCAGCGCAAATACGTCTATCTTTTGTTTTTCATTTCGCTCTCACACATTGAGCGTATTGCTACGTACACGCATCTCTCTCTGCTCTTACTTACCTGGTGCTGGAGCATATCGTAGATGCATATATTTTGGTATCATACAAAATAATAATTTAACATAATTATTTATATATTAATAATAATCATTAAATAATAGGGAGAGAGAGACATAACGAGTTAGCACTTTTACTCGTTACATATTTAATCTTATGATTATGAAATCGTGAAAAAATCTTTTTGTTTATATTTCGGTGCTATAGTGATAGCGGAACTTGATATTTACCATAGTTTTCTGTCTAAAAAAAATAAGGAATACAATGGTGCAAAAATTGTTGAAAAAATATACCTTACCATATTTTCAAGCAGCTTACCATATTTTCATCTAAATATGGTAAAAAAAAATAAATATCTGTTCATACATGTTAACCTCTACGTGGACAATAAGTATAATATTTTTGAAATAAATGGATGAATTTAATGTTATGAAATAGCTAATAATATCCCTCAAATAGAAAAGAAATAATAATTACCAATACATTCATAGTGATCCATTCCATTCTATATTACGTAATAAATATTGAATTTCATATATTTTCAGGAATTGGAGATTTCAACGGTTTGATACCAGAATCGCGACATATATCTATATTGGCAGGTTAGTAGTTATATTTTCCTAATTATTTATTAGCTGCTTCAATTTTTCATATTTATTGTGTGTGTGTTTCTGTGTGTTTATATATCCGTATGCGTGCGTGTATGCTGTGATTTCTATCTCCGCCTTTTTACAACTATATTTTAATACAAATATTAAAATCAATATTCTATCAACAGAAATCGCGGTCCCGATGTTTGAGCTTTCAGAAACCGTCCGGGGAAATTTTTTTTTCTTCCAGCATTTTTACAAAAAGGCGGTTTTTTATGGCAGTGCTCTATGAAAGTTTATAAATTTTTACTCCAAAAGTATCAACTTTACAAAAAAAGTTAGTACTATAAAAAATACTTTCAATTATTCAAAGAATACGTGTGAATTTTTTCAGAGCTGATTAAAAAAATTTTGGATTTTTTTATTTTGACCATATTTTGAAAAATAAAAAATTTACGTACTGAAAAGAATTGTCCAATATTATACTTTTTAGTTTTTGATTGAGACGTGTTTTCGAGTAGACACACACGTCGTTAGTGTACTTTTAGCAAACGAGTGACACTACAACTCGTTGTGGGGAATTGCTGCATGTATGAGACCCCGCGCACTTAACGCTCGCAAGTTATTTGATAAATATAACTTATATATATGTATATTTATGGGACATAAATAGTAATTAAATAAAATCAAATAAATAAAATATATTTATATAGGGGTCCTTCTATTACAATCGCAAATATAGGCACAATTATTCATATATATAATAAAATAATGATATAGATCGAAACTCTTATTAGTCACGACTGCACTTGTTAAAGACAAAGATATAAAAGGTAGTAATGGCTGCGTTTGACGAGCGATTTGAAATTAAGTTCTTTTAAATATAATCAAAATATTGCAGACATACTATTTATCCTATACAGATGCATATCATATTATCCGGCAACGCCCTTAATTGTTAAACACTTCGTCAGCGTATGCTATTATACCACTTTTTCGTAGAGGTCATATGACGCTAATCCGACCGGTCGGCGCGAGCGGTATTTATAACAATAAAATAAAAAGAGTCGCGAGAATAAAATGCCAAAGCCAAAAAGTTAAGAATTTATCAATCACGCATATATTGCAACGGTAGTCGATTGAATTAATCGAACCGTTCGCGATTCTGATTTTCGCGCGTTAGTTCTAAGTATTGAGAGAGAGAGGGGGCGCGTGATCTTTTGAATTAGCAGTTACGTCTCAGCTGTTACTTGTGTAGTACCGCCAAAATAGTTTAGCACAGTGTTCCAACGATTTGCCAATAAAAAAGTTTACTTGGATTTTGATACGTGTGCAAAGGTTAGCGAGGAAGCAGCAACAGTAGCAGTATCACGGAAGCAGCAGCAAAAGCAACAGCAATTATACAGCAGATTTGCAATCAAGGCAGCACAGCTGATTCTGATCGGAGGAGCACCTTTAATTTGCTTCAACAATTACGGCTGATCAACGTAATTGCACCGCAGGGTAGGTGCACCTCCCTTAATTATCACGTGACAAAATACATTTGATATTTTGTCCAACGGTGTTAGCGGTAATTTTTTGTATTCGCGTCGAGCGTTAGATCGCGCCAATATTCGTATCTTCTCTCTCTCTCTTTCTCACCGAAAGTTATTTAATTGTAAATCCTATTCGCGTGCGTCAGTCTTTCGGCCCGACAAAGACTGTAGAGATTTTTTTATTAATAAAATCTATTAAACTTATTCGCCGATTTCGTCATATAATTTTTCCCAATAGTTTAAACAATTGAAAAAGGCTTAGGTTTTAATCCGATTATAGCTAGGGGATTAAGTGGATTAGGAGCAAAGTCGATTACACTTAAAACTCATCGACTATCACAAGGCACGTGACTTAAGGTAATTATACACAAAATGAATACGTGGAATTTGCCAAATGGTAATTACTCCAAGAATAATTATTACTAAAGAAAAATAAGTAAGAAGAAGACAGTTTTATATAATAAACCTTGTGTTACTTACTTGTTAAATGTATATTTGTTATTATTAATTGGTGTCAATTATATCGCTATGTTTATATATGTATTAATGTACTTGTCCTTGGATTTATATTGCTATATATGTGTATATGTTGCTAGAATGTTTGTCCAAAGGTATAACCATTTATCTCGACTGGTCCTTATAATAATTCTTGTCCTTACAATAAGTAATTATGCTTGAATTTTGCCGCGCGTAAGCCGTATACGTATATATATATATATTGATTTTAGAAATTAATGACAAAAACTAATTGATAAGAAAACTAAGATGAAAACCGATTATAAACAAGAAAGACAAATTTACAAAAGAACTGAATATAATCTGTATAACGTAATTCTGAAGAGAACAAGGTGTGGCACGACTGTCCGTGATTAACTCTCGCACGGGAATGAAATATTGGGCGTGGGTGCTACAGTAATGCAGTGCGGGAGCGCCACCACGCGCGCCCAATGCGTACAACTAATACGCGCGGCGCAATTATACATAATACTAATACACAATATTAATCAGGATTAAGAAAATTTAAAAATTGTCACTTAACATTGATTAATTTGAAAGGTATAGCTGAAGAAAATAACAATGTCTAAAAGGAAAAGTGGTAATGTAAAAAAAAGACGTCGCTAATCTGAAATACAGGTTACAGAATGTGATGAATATTATGATGTCTCTGTAATACCAGACACCGAAGAATCTGGAGATTCTGCTAAGTCGTATAGCGATTCTGGAGCTGATGAAAGCGATTCTGCGGAAACAATAGAGCTTGGCTCTTTAGAAATTTTTAGAACAGTAATAGAATCCTACACTAATAATAATCAAACAAAGTTAGAGAAAAATCACATCTATGACTGGGTTGAAGGCGAAATTGAATACAATGAAAGTTTAGAAAATGAAATATTATTAAAAGAGTGTGATCGCAAAAAAATTTTGAATAGTTCATTGATAGAAATTTTTGAGATTTTTTTTCACTTGAAATTAAAAAAACATATCAATGATTGTACAAAAGCAAATGGCTATGAACTTTCTTTGGAAGACTTGGATAAATTTATTGGAATCATAATTTTCAGGTGCTTTGATAAGAAATTATCTCAAAGAGACTATTGGTCAAAAGATGAGTTTTTGAGATCATATATAGTGGCATCATGTATGGGCATTAAACAGTTTGAAATGATCAAATCTCAATTAAAACTCCATCATCCCGATGATGAAAATAAAGAAGACAAAGTTTGGAGGGTCAGAGCTTTTATAAATATTATGAGGGAAAATATTATGCAATTTGGGGTTTTCTCTATAGCGTTATCAATAGATAAAATGATGATAAAATATTATGGGCGATGATCTTTCAAACAATTCATCAAATCAAAACCAATTAGATTTGGAATAAAAATGTAGGATCTTGCTAGCGCTAACGGATTTTTATTCGATTTTGATATATACTGTGGAAAAAATGGCAAAAGCAATATTTTACCTAAAATTTCTCTTGGTAGTCGTGTCGTAATTCAAACATTGGAACAGTTTTTGTGTCGAACTACACCACGTAATATGCAAAAATACCATTTTGTTACGTGACACTTCATTGTGTTATAATTGTATTTTGTCGAATAATATTTCGGACCCGAGGTTTCCGTTCGGACATAGTATAGCTAGCAGTATTCGTGTGCACGACTCGGTAGGAATGTGCGGCACAGGCTGATTCACGCTGCAGCAGCATGCTGCGACAGCATGCTTTGGTCAGCGTGCTTAACTAGGTAAGACGAGCCGATATGAGAAGCGTAAACGTCTAAAGCGTATGTGCGAGAAAGAGACGGAATGCGAGGAAAAAAAGATATATAATGAACCGGCGAAAAGAACGACGCGAGACAGGGAGAATCAGTCAGTTAGGAGTGAGCGCTCGACTAAGAAGGCCGCATATTTTCCTACTGAAGTTAAATCCGTAATAAGAGTTTGAGAATATAATTGTTCAAGTTATAATTAAGTATTAGAAGTACCGAGTACCATTGTTTTTAATAATTTTGTGTAAACGAAAATCATAGGAATTATCATTTTCTTGCGTGTTGCATAAAAGTATTGTATAAAAAATATATTGAACCAGTTTATATTTACAATATTAATACAAAGTGAGTAATACTTTTTATGTAACCAAAAAATAATAGACATCGCGAGGCGAAAATTACACGTCTGAGAATTTATATATATATATATATATATATATATATATTCTGCTTAACTTATTTATGTTGTGAAAGAGACTAGAATAAATATTATAATTATAAACGCTTATAAGTGTATCCATATGCTTCCCCACTATATTAAAGAAAATCGCTATTACATTTTTCCTTTTAATAAATAAGCGGAAAACGTTATAAACGTTCAATTATTTATTTTACAAAAACGATATTGAGTGTCCAATTATAATTAACAGGGATTTTATTATTGACGCGCGAACGGACCGGGGTGCCCGAAAGCCTGACTACCGCCCGAGTCTAAGGCCGCTCGGCTGTTAAAAGAGCCTTCGTACGGGACAAACTCGACTCGCGCGAGTTATCACTTATCACATTTATATTTTGACAACTTATTTTGTTCTGCAGAGCTTTTGGTTCATTTAATAAAACTAGGATTGCGATGTACTGGAACAGTTAGACAGGACAGAGTAAAGGACCTGTAAAGCACAACATCGATAAAAAGAAAGATAAACGTGGAAATTATGAAGTAAAGCACGATAAGAACAGCGGTATCAATTATATCACAGTGATGGATTCTAAGCCAGTCTCAGTATTGTCTACTGCAGCTGATGTAAATCCCACTGGTTCTATTGGAAGGTAATATAAAACTGAGAAAATAAAAAAAAACTTGATTCACCAAGAGCGTTTTGTGCATACAATAGTTATATGGGTGGAATAGATATTCGCGACCAACATTGTAATAAAGTTCTACTAAAGTTCTCTTTTCAGACCAAAAAAAAGTGGACTTGGGTAATTTTTC